CGTAACTGGTAAATCAATGTAGCTAATAATTAGTACTTGGTAAGTCGAAGTGACATGTAACTTGTACTTGTAAAAAATCTTGTTTGATGGAAATGGGAGCTCTTAGATGTTCAGGTCACTAACTTTATAAAGAAAGAAAATAAAATGATATTTTAGATGGACAGACTTTGAAAATGTATATACTAAAACTGTTGAGAATTAAAAGATTGTGAACCTTGAACTTTGTGGGTTAATAATATATTTATAGTCTACGAGTATTGTCCTTTTATGAAAAAGAGGGGTTGAAAAGTCATTTCACCCCTGTAAATAAATGTAATAATTTGAGTTGTATTCCACTTAAAATAATACATATTAAATCAATACATAAATATAAAGGAACCCACATGGAATCTCAAAAAGTTACTGAGAGATTTGTGTGGGGTCTTGAAAAAATTATCAAATAAGTGTTAGGCTCAAATAAGTTGTCTAAGCCTATTACGAGTGGAAAATAAGTATGAGTGCATGCTCCAGCCCATAAAGATAATGAGGAGCCCATAAGAATAATGAGGAGCATGGTGCTGGAAATACCCAACACCTGGAGCTTTGGAACCACACGTTGTCTGAATGATTATTGGTAAGGCTTAGCTAAGGGGTTAAGCCCAATGTTACGAGCTTAACTTGGAGGTAGATCCTATGGGTAGCCATGCATATTGTTTAGGCTCGTGCTTTTTTAATATTTAAACCTTGGGAATTTTTTTGAATCGTTAAATTTAGATTTATTAATAGTTCATGAAGTCTTTATGATATTAATATACAAAGACTTGTAAAAATACCGAGTACCATGAGTTTGTCGAAATCTCTTTGTATGAGAAGAGGGTTGGAAACTCCGAGGTAATAAACTGAAGAGCCTATATGCAGAGGAGTGCACTGTGTTTGAAGAATTTTTATAGGGGACCATAGATGAACTTGTACTTACAAATATTTTCTATGAGGCAAGAGAAATCCCATCAAGAAAGAGCTCGCACTTAGAAAAAAATTCTAAGTTGTTGGGGGAACCTAATAAGGATGATCTTATACTTGAAAAATATTTTAAAAGTTTAGGATAACTCATAAAGGATGAGTCTATATTTATAAAATATTATAAGAGGCTAAAAGACCAAAGGCTAAGAAACTAGAGAAGGAGAAATTCATACTTATAAAAACTTACAAGTGGCTAAGTGAACCTCAAAAGAGCGAGCTTATACTTGAAAATAGATTTAAGAGGTCAAGGATAACCTTATGAGGGCCATTTCTTGTGATAGCGCAAGGCTTGAAAGCCCCGTACTTATATGAGATTGTATTAAAAAGAGAGAGAAAGGCTTGTGGGCTCCTAGTCGATGGTGTAAGGCTTGAAAGCCCCTGGCAAAGAGAGATTACACTATAGTGGGAGGCATGTGACCTTCTTGATAAGGGTGTGGCTGAAGAGTTTGCCATTAGAGAAAAATTTCACTGAAGAGTGGAATGTCAATGGCTCCTTAATAATGGTATGGGGTTTGGGAGCCCCCAACTAGAAAATGATTGTATTAGAGAAGGGATGTATATAACCTCTCTAGCGATGGTTTGGAGCATGAAAACCCTCCATTTACTTGAGAGTAGGAGATCTAAGATCATTTCTAGAGATAATGTGAGGCCCAAGAGCCTTATTAATGAATTGTGGTAATCCAAGACTGCATCAAAGAAGCAAGAGATATGAGATCAATCCCTAAAGATTTTGTGAGACCCGAAAGCCCCACTAGAGATTCATATCAATTCTAGACTACACTGAAGAGACAGAAGATCTAAGATCAATCCCTGAAGATTTTGTAAAGCCTAGTAGCCTCACTAAAGATCTATAAATAAAATGTTAGAGGTAATATTTTTATTTAAAAAATAAATTCATTCCCATTAAGGATATTACATTTTAAGGTGATATGGGTACCAAACATGAAGGGGATTTTTAGAAGGAACATGTCTTGAAAGTGATAAATGTTTGTCTTATTGCCTAATTAACTTTAAATGAATAGTCATATTTTAACTTCAAGGAGTAATAAATCCTTAAGAAACACCAAGTGCTCATGGGTTGATCCCGTATGGTTTTTTCTCGAGCTTTCATTTCTACTAGGAGAATGATTTTTCTTGGAAAGTCCTTCATGCTAGTTGTCCTTATAGAAATAAAAAAGTTCATGTCATAATACACTAGTCTCTTTCATCTGTATATGATTTTCCATAACTTGCTTCACTTTGAGTAAGCTTTTGTCCAGTAAGACATAAAGTTTTTCCTAAAGAGCATGTTTTCTTTCCCCTCTCATTAAGACCTTTAAGGTTACTAGCTCAACCAACTTTTTTACCTCAAGCATTTTCTCATTAGACCTTTACAAATATGCATATGTAAACTCATCCTCTTACTAAATAACATCAAGTAGCTCTGTGAAGCTTGTTTTTAGTGGGTATACTGGTGTTAAAACATGTCATTAGCTTGGCATAAAAGTCACTAAACCTTTTTAAGAGAGCCCGACTCTAAATTATTATATCAGGTATGTGTAGACCCTTAGAAGGTTGTGTGAGAAGATTTTGAACACTGAGTCTGTTATAATCCATTTCTAGATTATTCCTCAAATTTCTTTTTCTTTAAAACAAAAACAAAAAAATAGAAAATATAAAAACAAAGGTTGACAACATGGAGAAAGCAAACCGAAGAATCAAACTGCAATTTTGGAATAAATTCAAGGTAATTATGCACCCATCATGCAAAAAAAAAATATATACAAATTTAAGGTCAAGTTAAATGATTATTGGTCGAATTTACATAAAAATTAAGTTCAAGCATATAATTAAATGTTTTATAGGCCAACTTGATTTAATCATAGGCTAAATTGAATTTTAATTATGTTTGAAAATTATTTTGAGTTCAATTAAAGAATTTAATTAAGTGCAAGGATTTAATTATACTTTAAATTGTCAAATTAATTTTATTAGGGGCTTAATTGGTGGAAAATTAAATTTTAGAGCCCAGTTTAAGCTTAATTGAGAAGATTAGAATTTTAAGAGACCAAATTTAATTTTTATCAAGTTAATTAGTTGAAATCAGGGGCACAATCACAAGAAAATTTAATTTTTGAGGTTAATTAGGGGTTAAATTGCATAAATTCAAAACTAAAAACTAAATAGAAAAAAACGCGTAAATATAAGGTTCCAATGAAAGTTTTGGTTGAGAATTAATTATATAAATCCAAAATTTATGATTAATTAAGGGTTCAATTAAATAACAATGAAAGTTGGAGGATATTCTTATATAAAAACCATCTCTTAATTTTTTGTCTATTAAACTTTAGAAAGCTTAAAGAGTTTAATACGAAACAACAAGATAGATAAATAACTGAAGTCCATCTCATGATTGTTTAAAAGAACACGTCTAGAGTTTCTATTGGGCATGGGGTATCACAATCGCACGATGGACTTCTACAGGGACTGGACAAGTGTCCAGGAAATATCTCAACACCATTAAGCTACATTTCTTACAAAAATAATAACAATAACAATAAGATAACTTCAGGCTTCAAGTTCAAGACTTCAAGGAGATGAGGTTCAAGGCCCAGTGGGTCATCAAATTACTTCAAACATTTTCCAGCGCCGAACTCTCTCCCGAAAGTGACACGTTGGACAACGAAAAAAGGTTCGTACATCAATCAAATCCATCCACCTGTACAAGAAGCCTCCACCTGGACCGCTCAACAAATAACATCCATCCAAATTTCCTTGTAATCGATTAGTATTGGATTTGTTTTTTAATTTACATGGATATCCAGGTTAATTTACATGTATTATAATTAATTTTATGATTTATTAAATATTTTATAAGTCTAATAAATATATAAGATACCATGAAAATGATAAACATACATAATTAGATTTGAATCTAAATAAAAAAAGAAATAAATTCTTTTTATTGTTGGGCTAACACCGCAAATACAGTGTTGGGTTTTAGTTGGATAAGATATTGTATCAATGAGGTAAAACAATTGAACTTAAATTAATTAACCTAAGTCATTTTCAAGTCACCCTGGATGTATACATCCATGCCAGAATTTATACCCTGAAATATAACTGCCCTCTCTGAAATTTATGGAAAACGTCAAACCAGTCCATATTACATTGCTTAATTTTCAATTTTATCCAAGAACATAAAAACATTTTATTAAGTAAAATCTTTTGCATTTCATAGATTCATGGGTTGGGATGTCCATTAATAATTTCGACGGAATGTGCAATATTTTCCATAAAAAAACTCCATGGTAATAAAAAACTTGATTTATGAAAAATGTTATTTTGGGATGAAATTAGGGATTGAAAAATATTAGGGACTAATTTCAGGTTTCTCAAACTCTCCCACCAGTAGATTTCTGAAAAGGAAAGGGCAAGCAAACAAACAAATCCACGTGGCAGAGCCCCGCCCCCAGCCGCATCTCTCACAAGCCTCCAACCGCTTGTGTTTCCCTCTAAAAATTAGCCCTTTCACATCTCCCAATTTCATATCATAAGATATATCTTTATCATTTGGGTCCCTAATAGAATAACATTCCGACACATCTCAATTGGATCCTCGTATCCATGTCTGGTAACTTGTCTGTTAAATTTCCATGTTCCATGCAGCCAAAACAAGCATGGCTAAAATCAAATGTCAATATAGAAATTAATTAAATATACTTAATTAAAAAAAGGATGCTCTTAGTTTTTTTATAAAATAAAAAGGCTACATATTTTATTTCTTGCATAATTAAAGTTGTAATTTGGAAACATTACAAGTATCCATATCAAAGGAGTAGCTCTTAATGACTCTCGTTTTAGAGATTGAGCGATTAATTTCGTGATATCATAGAAACGGTCCCGCATCGATGAAAGTTATTTGTTTGACATGAAACCATTACTTCAATAATATAATAAGGACTAAATTGAAGTTTTCCACAATTTTATCCATCCATTTCCAGCTTATGTGGTTACCCCTCACCAAACCATCTCCATAGCATGGCTTCAGCTAGCTCTCTTCTCTTCACTAAAATAACCGTTTTTTTCCCTCTCCTCTAACGCCACTCCCTCCCTCTCCTTCTCTGAAACTCAACAGCAAATTATGGACTTGATTTACTATCCAAATTACACAATTACCCCTTCCCTTTCCTCTCATAATCCAAAACCTCGCTCTCGGATTCTCCTCCAAAGAAGCAACTTCCGATCATCTCCAATTCGCGCTGCTGCTGCTTCTTCCTATGTCGAAACCACCAGAAACGGCGCCGCTTCAACAACAAGCAGGAGAAACGTAACAGTAAAAACAACTGACAGGGACAGCAGCAGCGCCATGGATCAACTCGACATCGAACGCGGCGTTTGCGTGCCGTTTCGCAAGTACTCTCCCGAAACAGTACGATTTCTTCTTCATCATCATCAAATAATAATAATAAATAATAATTTATTTTGTTCTTAATTTCATTTAATTTTGGTTAGGTGAGGAGTAAAGTGCTGGAATCGAGAGGGGCAATATCGTCGTTGATGTTGAGAGGAGTGGAGATAGTGTGGAATTTGGGATTGTATTGGTCTAATCTGGCGTATGATTTTTTGGTTGGAAGAGATGAGGAGGTGGTTCCGTATCGTGCTCGGCAGCTTAGGAATTTGTTGTGTGATTTAGGGCCTTCTTTCATCAAAGCTGGACAGGTTTGTTATCTGAATTTGCCAATTTTGTTTATCAATTATGTTCTCTATGAAGAGTTTAGATGCGATTTTTGATGACTTTAAGACTGAATTCGTGAATTTGCTAGAAATTGAAGTTAAAAATGTATTGGCGTAGCAAAAATTTGAGTACTTTTTATAGACTTTGGTTTATGTTGAATCAAGGAATTGTAATGGCGGGGTCCATTGCCCCGACTAATTTTATAACAGGGTTGAGTCTATGTAGTAATTTCTGCATTTGTAAGAATTTGAATTTTGGATTTCGGGGTGTTTGTTTATTCAAGTCTAAATGCTTGTTTCTTGGCACGTTTTCGTTATGATATCAGCGTTTGTGGATCCCATGTGTGGCCCCCATGATCCGCAAATACTGAAATGTGACTGGAAAATGTGTGGTGTGGTGGGAGTAGTGAAGATTTAGCCAAGTACATGTATGACAGTCTTGGGTTTTGGGGTTGACTGGATAGTTTTTGTGCTTTCCAGGTTCTTGCTAATAGACCTGATATCATTAGAGAGGATTATATGAACGAGCTCTGCATCCTCCAAGATGATGTTCCTCCTTTCCCCAATCAGGTAACTGCAGACTTTGCTTAGATTTTGGTTTGATGTGGCATGTCTGGATCATGTCTTTTTTTGCTTAACCAGTGAATGTTTTGATAGGTTGCTTTCAATATTATAGAAGAGGAGTTGGGGCAACCGCTTGAAGCTGTATTCAGTAAAATTTCACCACAAACAATAGCGGCTGCGAGCTTGGGTCAAGTTTACCGAGCTACCTTACAAGCTACTGGGGAGGATGTTGCAATTAAGGTTGTGTGTGGTGACTGTGGTCCATGTAACGGCATATTTCTCGTGTATTTATTGCAAACAATGATGTAAAGTCATTATTTTTCAGGTGCAAAGACCTCAAATAGAGCCCATAATCTTTCGGGATCTTTTTCTCTTTAGAACTCTTGCTTCATTCCTAAATGGAATCAGTTTACAGAAATTGGGATGCAATGCTGAGCTGATAGTAGATGAATTTGGTGAGAAGCTTTTGGAGGAGCTTGATTACACATTGGTACTTTCAAAACTGTCTTCTGTTCTGCATAACAATCTTGTTGTATGCTCTTAAAGATAGACAAGAATGTATCTTGGTCCATGACATCTGCCAGCCTTTCAGCTGTGTGATATCTATGTTCATGCAACCACATTGATGGATCTCCCCCCTCAAACAGTGATATTTCTTACAGTTTACGTTTTATATGTGTACTGATGATTCTGTTTCTTGTCCTCATCAGGAAGCTCGGAATATTGAAGACTTCCTGGAAAACTTCAAAGATGACCCTACTGTTAAAATTCCTCGGGTTTACAGAAAACTTTCTGGTTCACGTGTTTTAGTTATGGAATGGATAGATGGCATTCGATGCACCAACCCACAGGTGGCTATCAAAATATGTGCCTCTTTTTTCTTCTGTTTTTTCATGAAGAAAGAAATAATGTGTTTTTCATATGCTCAGGCTATCAGGGATGCTGGTATTGATTTAAATGGATTTTTAACAGTTGGGGTGAGTGCTGCTTTGCGGCAATTATTAGAGTTCGGGTTATTTCATGGAGATCCACATCCTGGAAATATCTTTGCCATGCAAGATGGACGCATTGCTTATGTGGACTTTGGGAATGTTGCTGTGCTTAGTCAGGTAGGATATTTGTCTCCTAGGTGTGCAGTGAAACAACATTATTCAAGTAAACAATGTCTCATTTATTTTTTGGTTTGATATATAAAAAAACTGATATACTGTTCTGTTCTGTGAAGGTAATAGTATAATTATATTGAATTGGCTGGGAAGGGAATGCTTGGCAAAGCATTTATATATAGACTAGTCTAGTTTACCAAGTGCAAAATTGTAGTTAATTTGATCTGCACAGAGTGTATACGATTTGTTACCTGCCTGCTAATCCGCTTACAATATTTCAGCAAAATAAGCAGATATTGATTGATGCTGTTGTTCATGCTGTGAACGAGGACTATGCTGAGATGGCAAATGACTTTACCAGGCTTGGGTTCCTAGCTAGTGACACTGATGTTGCTCCTATCATTCCAGCTTTGGAAGCTATTTGGCAGAATTCTGCTGGGAAAGGACTTGCTGATTTTAATTTCAGAACTGTTACAGGTAAATTGTACGCCCACAATCTATATTAATCATGTGTCTTTGAATCACACTTAATCATAGATCACCAGAGAGTTTGCCATAGAACTTTTGCCAATAGTATGAACATTTAAGCACATTGCTTAAACTAAAACTTTTTTGTTTGGTTTTCATTTGCATGGTTTACTTTGTTGTGCGTCTGGATTAAGATAGTTCTCTAAACATTGCAGGGAAATTTAATCAATTGGTTTACAATTATCCCATTCGTATACCGGAGAGGTTTTCCCTTGTTATTCGTTCTTTATTGACTCAAGAGGGCATCTGTCTTACCTTGGAGCCAGATTTTAAATTTCTTGAGGTGAGCCAGGTTTTAAATTTCTTGATGCTTTATATGTTATAACTTTCTAGGTATAAACTAATAAATGGTTTGATCCAAAACATTTTATCGCTCAAACAGAAAACAATACACAGGCTGATAACTTGAAGCAGTCAATCCATAATCACCAGCTTGTTTTGTCAGATTTGTACAGAATAAAGAACCTGTTTGACCAAGTTTGTGTATAATGTAACTAGGTTGCCTATCCATATATTGCAAAACGCCTCCTTACAGATCCCAATCCAGCACTCCGTGAACGACTCATACAGGTTAGTTCCAATCCATCTTGTTTAGAAATCTTTTTCCGCACAATGTGCATCAATTGCTTATATCATGCTGTTAAATTGCAGATGGTAGGTCATTTTTTTTTTTTTTTTACAATAACTGTAAGAATGTTTACCCACAAAAATAATTTTACTTCTTTGTGGAATGTCCTGTTTGGATGTATAACCAATTGCCCATTGTTGTTGCAATATGGAAGAGAGTATTCAACAAATCCAAGCAGGAGTGCTTGCACAACAGAACATGTCGCTCTCTTAGGGATGGGAATAATGTGGGTAGATTGTTAAATATGCCCATCACCTCATCCTAGATGAGGTGGTTAAATGGGGATGCTAAGATCTAAAAAGGGTGGTGGATCAGGTTTTGTTGCCTTTAAAAGCACCTACTGTCAGGTTTTTGTCAGGGAAGGGTTTAAGGGCCCCTAATTTTCCCCTGACCCTGATAAAAAGACAAAATGCAGTTCTAAACCACATAAACACTCGGCTTCAAGCTCATGGCCAAATGGACTTGATATCTGAAAGTCCTTTCTTAGAGATTGAATCCTCTCATCTCTGAACAACCAGGTGGATTTAACAGAGAAGAGTTCACATGCATTTGTCAAAACTAGCGAGCCACTTATGGTTATCAATTCTTGATGTTGATTTTGCTTTCAGCAAATTCAGGTTCACCGTAGTTGACAGCTTAGAGTCATTATTGGATGCGGGGTGGACAGTTTATGTCATGGGGTTGATTCACTGTCAAGTCTGAGGTTCAATGTTGTGTTTCACTTGATTGTGTCTTTCTATATCTGGGTCATTTTCCTTATCTGATGTCAAGCTCTTGTCAGGGAAGGACTCAAGGGCCCCCAATTTCCCTGACCAAAATAGGTAAAATATATACATTAGTTCTCAATCCTAGACACTTGGTGTCGCCTCATTGGCCAAATGGCCTTAATCTCTTAGTGTCCTTTCTCCAAGAGAGGATCCCTTATCGCTAAACAACCAGGTAACTTTAACAGAGAAGCATACACATGTAGATGTCAAAACTAGGTCTAGCCAATTAAAATTCTGGATTCTCAATGCCAATTTTGCTGCCAGCAAGGACAGGGACACCTTACTGGACGGCATCGTCATTATGGGTTGTGGGGAAGATGTGGGTGAAACAATTTATGTCAGGGGTTTGATTCATTGTCAATTCCTAGGTTCACTAGTGTGTTGCAACTGATTGTGTCCTTGTATTATTGAATTTTGGCCTTGTCCAAGTTCCATCAACCCAATGGTTTCTCACAATGTAATCCCTCAAGAAGGATCTGCTTCCCTGTGTCAGGTTCTGTTCAAAGGTGGTGTTTTCCAGTGGAAACGGCTTGAAAACCTTATTGTTCTTGCAAAGGAAAACGTAGCCAAGATGAGCAGCAACCCTGCTTTGCAAGTAAAAGACATGTCTGTATCTTTTCATGACAACCTTGATTATTTTGATACAATCTGGTTATTGTTTCAATAACACGTCCGCATGTCTGCAATTTTGTTTTCACAGCCAAAATTCAAGCTTGCAAATTAAAAAGAAGCTAGACTTGACAAATACCATTAAAGATGGAGCACGTCTCTTCTTTACCGATGAAGGAATCCGGAGGCAGTTGCTTTTGGCTATGACAGAAGACTCAAAACTTCACATTGAAGAGGTAAGCAAATTCGAGCCACTGATTGCTATGCTTGCCATCATCCAAATATAGAAATGGCACCTTTTTCTTCTTCTTCTGGTTTAGTCCATACCTTATCTGAATACTGAAATGAGTTCATCTTCTATAGCTTGTTGACGTATATAGACTGGTTGAAGACCAAATCGATATCCCCTCGGTGACTAGGGAAGTTGTGAGAGGTAAAGTTTCCTGGAATCTTAAATGTACCATTGCTTACTGAATTATATGAACAATGATCTTATGCTTCTGACTCGCAGACATTCCAACTGTTATCCGAGATCTCATACTTTCCTGGAGCGACTCAATCTTATCTGACCGATGATCAAAGCTTTGATGTAACATGGTTCATTCCTTACAATAGAACTATAATTTTATTTCGATCAAGACTACACTATACCGGGCGAGCAAGAAGGATTCTGCCATTTTTCCTTTTTGTCAAGAGGCTCTTTTATCATGTTGTAAATGCAAAGTAACTTCGTTGACACTGAAAATATTTCTGTCTCTGTATAGAAAGAATTATCTTACTCGGTAGATAATTGGAGAGAGCTGTAGTGTCAGAGGAACTCAAACATTTTGTCAATCTTCTGAAGTAATGCATGCAGTTTGTTTTCGCCTCGTTTGATCCGCCAGGGAAGTAAATGAAGAACACAATGCTGTTTTCATATTGAATTTGGATTTTCTTCTTAAAGGCTTTTGAATGTTGCATCAAACATATCAGTAACCAAATTCTATTAATGGTATTTTATTTCTTAAAGAAATACTCCAAAAAGAGAAGAGCTAAAAACACGAAATGGGTGATCTCTTCCCCTCGTTGTCTGGCATTTTGAAGGGTTTAACTTTAATCTATTTTCTATGGTAGCATTTAGGTAACGTTTGAAATTTTATTCCCAACATTTTGACTGATTCGAAAGTTTTGTAATTGCCAAAAGAATTATTATCTAAATATTCAACTTGTATAGGACCTGTACGCAGAGGATTTCACAAGGTGACTTCCATGTTTTGGATCGGAGCTCTTAAGCTTCATCTTCAAGAACACTTTTCAAAGTTTGAGTTCCTTCTTAATTTAGGAGAATGGTGTTAGAACGCAAGATAGATTCTTTTAGAACTAAATATAACACTAAATTTTTTATATTTTAGTATTCTTATATAATGAATATTATTTATATAACATAGTTGTTGTCGTAATCGGCCTAGGAATAGACATGAAAAAAGCTTGGTCATTAAATCAACTTGCGAGTTACAAAAATAATATTTTGTTATTTAAAAAAAAAAATTTAAAATTTTATTGATACCGACCCAGTTGATTGGGCATTTAGTTTTATCTAGTAAACTATATCATTAAAATCTCAATCAAATCAATTGAATTTTATTAAATTAATATTTTTTTATATTTAATTTAAAATTCAGAAACCTTTGCTTGTATGATATTTCATTGAAGATTTAACCATTATCACTCTCTGTATCTCCTGATTTTCTCTCTCTTGGATAATCTCTAATTTCAATTCTCAGGTACCTAATAAAGCAAGAGAACTCCCACTCTCTCTCTCTCTCTCTCTCTCTCTCTCTATTTCTTTTCTTTTCTGGTAGGGTTTCTTTAGACATGACCAACGATAAGCAAAACCCTGCAAGAGACGTAACCGAAGAAGAAGAGACAACCATTATAACCGTAGAAGTATCTTTTGTCCTCCGTGTATCAAAAAGCGAGGCAATTATCTTATTACTCTATCATGATAATTGTTCTGTCAATAAAGTTAATGATGCATGGTTTGCTGACGAGTCTGAAGTTCTTGAAAAATTAGGGTTGGTACTAAGAGAAACAAGTGATAATCGATGACGATATTTGTTCTGATGAGAGTAAAATTATTGCTTGCGGGTTTTGTGCTGGATTTTACCTCGGCTTCCTGCGCACATATCCTTGGTGTCTGTAGAGGGTTTGAGGAGGAATTCTGGTTACGTTGTCAGGTCTTATATTAAAGAATAGGAAGACAAAGTGGTGTACTGGTCGAGACTGCAAGTATGCTATTGAGTTTTGCGGTGGAAATCTAAGCAGCTTTGATGTTAAGGTTCAGAAAAGGTGTTGTTTGATATTTTATCCTTACCGCCTTGGCGACTTGTATGGTCTTATATTCTACTCAATGGAAAATAACTGGCAAAGAAAATCCTAATATAATCTAAGATAGTTGTAATAAATTTTAACTCGGAATTCAAGTCAGAACTCCGAACTCCTCAACTCACAGACCTGTTTCTGCCAGGTTGAGTTGCTGCCTTTATGGCCGAATTCCTCAACTCACAGATCTGTTTCTGCCAGTTTGAGTTGCTGAATTTAAGGCTGTATCTGCCGCGTATAAGCCCTTTTTTTTTTTTTTTTTGGGTATAGACTTTTCGTCTCCCTTTCCTTGTAGGATTGTTACTCTTTCTTCCAGTCCAGTTGCCGCAAGAAATCTCTCCTTGGTTGCCGACTTACAGGTGCTGCAAATCCTCCCCTGCAAGGATTCTGCACCGACCCTGCTGCCAGCAGCTTCTGCCCTGTTTCCACGGCTGTTTCCTAGCTCCCTCCTCAGCCTTCTAGCTCTCTATTGTAGGCAGGCAAGTACTACAATGGAGTTATGTATTTGGACACTACCTGCCTGGCAAAAGGCCTATCAAGAAACAGTTTTTGGATTACTTGCAAGGGGCCCTTGAGATTAACTGGAAAACGTCATCATTATGTTGAGAAAGAGCTGAAACAGAAACATTTCCCAGCACTGTCAGTCAATTCCAAACAGACTTACATGAACTGACAACTATGAATCGAATTACAGAATTTCAGAGTTAAATAGATTTTTTTCTTATCTTCAACTTGCACAACAGTTAAAATTAATTTTTTTCCTTAAGTAATCTTAAGAACATACCATCCATATCAATATGATACATTTAAGAAAATTTAGAAGTTACCCCACATTATTTTTTTATCAAATATTATTAAATAAAAATATATATATTTTTAAAAATTTTATTCTCTTCTTTCATTTTTTTTAAATAGGTTTTTTATCTTTTAAAAGTTTTGGTTTTTCTTTCTCAATTTTATTTTTTTCTTACTTTTTTATCATTCTTATAATAGTAAGTTATTTAATCCAAAGACCAAAATTTAAAAAAGTAAGTTATTTAATTTTTAGGGATAATATTGATTTTTTTTGGAAAATTAAAATGGTATATATAACATTGATGAATCTATTGAAACAAAACTGAAATCCACTCTAAATAAAATTTCTTTCATAACCAGTAATATATATTTCTATGTTATGATGGGGTGAGAGAGGAACAAAAACAGAGAGAGAGAGAGAGAGAGAGAGAGAGAGAGAGAGAGAGAGAGAGAGGAGAAAAGAAAAGAAGCATCTTCTAGGCTCTGCTTGCTTGCTTTGCCACTGCGATTTCACACAGGTCAAAGTCCATTAACCCTAAAAAATCTCCAGTTCTCCTACTCATCCTCCCAACCCCGCTCTCCTCTGTTTGGTTTCAGATAAAATCCCAGAAAACAAAACCAAAATTTCAGTGATTTCTTCACTCTTTCAGATCAAAATCAGAACTTGCTTGGAATGCTGAGTTATTTTTTTTTATTTGTGTTTAGCAGGATTAATATGCCTCGTAAAGGGAATTACGGATTTGATTATGATGATTACGACGATTATGACTACGACTATGATGTAGGAGATCAAGGTTAGTATAGATACGTTATATTAATTATTTTTTGGGTAGCATTACTAATAGGAAAGGTATGTTGAAAATCACTGAGAAAAAGATTGGATTTTTAAGAGATTTGGTTTGTGGTTTTCTCGAATTACAATTTCAATTATCCAAATAACCTTTCTAATGAATTAATTAGGTTTTTCTGTTTTTTTTTTTAATCTTAATGAGTGTAAGAATAGAAAAAAGCTTTTGAATTTGTGCATAGAAATATAGGATGATGTACATATAAGTTTATGTTTGTTGAAGGGGATATGATGTTGATGTTCTTCAAGTTGTTGATATTGTAATTGCTGGTTGTTTGGAATTTATTTGTGTGACAGTTGAAGCACCTGAGCCTAAGAAAAAAACGAGTAGTGATAAGGTTCGGGTATGGAGTTGCCCGATTTGCACTTATGATAATGATGAGAGTATGACTGCATGTGATATTTGCGGTGTTATTCGAAGTTCTGTCCCTGGAAAATTCAAGGATGACAAGGGAACAGGTATGCAAGTGTCCTTTGTTAATTATAGGAGTACTATGATTGGTTCCGTCTATTATTCTTCTTTGTAATAAGGAATAAGGGAAAAGTATTTTTCATAACATTCTAATTCTTTTCATATGGTGCTTTGCTTCTTGAATAACTTAGACGCGAGTATGTAAGGAAATTTTGTGTTTGGTTTTTTTAACTGCTTTCTGCTTTGTCTCACTTTATCCTTTTCTTCCTGGATAACATTAGACACTAACATAGTAGGCATGCTTTTGGTAGTGCACAAAGTCAGATATCATTTTTTGGTTGATATCACAATGCAGTCAGCTTGCATCTCTGTTGTTATTTAGGTTTCCTTTCAAGCTGGTTCTCCCTTTATAGAATAGATCTCTTTCATGCAGTTGGCATTATATGCAAAGATTCTGGAGTATCCATTATGGCCAAGTCTCTTTTTGCATCATTGCCACATCGGACACCACAAAAGGCTGTAGTAGGTCAGCGGCAGAATGATGATTTTGTGACAGAGGAGGGCAATAACTTCCAAAAGCTTGGGAATTTCCAAGGAAAATTTGATGAATTCCATAAGGCTTTTAGTCCCCATAACCGCTCCCATTTTGATATAGGTCTGAACATGTTTTATAACAGGATGAATTGATGAAATCAGTAGATATTAAAGACCCATTTTCTTTAACTTAAGAATCCTTTTGGATGAAGCTGTTATATATATATATATATATATATATATATATCCAGCTGGTGGCTGTTTTTTGAGGTCATTTTGCCATTTTGCTTCTCAAAACTATCATTAGATCTGTGGCTTCTGTGTGTGTACTGATGTTGCGTATATTACTTATACAGCTCCTTTCAAGTTTGATTTCCCATCTCCAGATGACATGGTTTCTAATGGGTTACGATCCTCCAAAATTGGATCTAAAGGTATCCTTTTATTTTCAATTTTGATAGGTCACTTTGGGTCTGGTGCCAAAAACTTTATTTCCTTGATTTCTAAAAAGATTAAATCCTGTTAGGAATGAAAAAAAAAAGAGTACCATCTTGCTTGTATAGCTGCCATTGCCTGGTGCAATTATGAGTATCTACAATTTCTCCCTTCCAGTAATCTAGTTTGGTGGACTACATCTGGGTACTGGCATTTTATTCATTCAAAGCATCCTACCCCTTTCGGCTGAGTACCACAGGGAAATAACTTGCATAACATTATAGCTCAACTGTTTATTTTGAGTTGCTCTTATCAGGACTGTATGGTCTGCCATAAACACATAATCAAGAGAAGGTTGAATCTGAACAAAAAATTATGTGTCCTAACTTGCAAATTTAAGGCCTTGAATTTCTTATGTGATAGAACAATTTCCTATTGAAACATGTGAAGATAGAATATGCCACCTGCCTTGCAATTTCCCACAGTA